CATGTATGTAATGAATTTTGATCAAATCCACCTCCATTTTCCCTCCCCTACAATTTCACAATTATCAGCCACACTACTGTTTTTCCCTCCCAACTTCATGCTCTCTTTTCTTGCTCTTTTTTTTTTTTTTTTAAACTCACTGAGTCAACTTAATGCTGCCTGTATGTGTGTGAGTGTGGAGCCATCCGTTGGAGTGTAGCCGGCCACCTGAAGGAAAAGGACTTTCTCTTCTCCATCAGCCATCAATTGCCAGTAGCTCTACCACAGCTGGGGCAGAACTTCATGAGGCCTTCCCAAACCCATGCTGCAGGTCGTATGCAAGCAGTCACAGCTGCTTGTGTTTTTGTGCAGCCATTATACAGGAAAAGTTTTTGCTGTAGATGTCCACTAACTCTAGCTCTTAAAATCTTTCCACTCCCTCTTCCAAAATGATCCCCAGACCTTTGGGGAAGGGTATAATATGGATGTGAGTACTCTACAGTCTTTTATTTTTCACACTTCAACAAATGTGGATCTCTGTATTGATCACCATCTACTGCACAAAGAAGCTTGTCTGATGAGGGTTGAGAGACACTAATCTGTGAGTGTAAAGATAAGATCATACAGGGCAGTTTATTACTGAGTCTATTTAGCTAAATAATAATACTGGGTTCTCTGCTGGGACCTGTGGCCTAGCCAGCAACAGACTCGGGGCCCTGTTAACAATAGTTCCAGGCATGGGTTCCATCTTTCAGTGCAGGCTTTAAGTCCAATCAGAAAATAGTTTGCTCATTCTCATAATATTCATATTGCATCAAAGAGCATATCTTACCAAGCCAGTCTTACTGTAGCTTGCAGGGTTCATCCCTAGAAAGACTTTTGTTTTTATTTTTATTTCCTTGTAGCATGCACAGCACTTTCTAACATGAAAGCAGGTCAATAGAAATGAAGCCTCCAGGTCAGTAATAGCTAGATTTCTCCCTGCTCTATGGTGTTTTCAGCAATAGAATATTGCCATCAAATTCTATAGGGTAACCAAGAGCAACAGCAATAGCCTATAATGCTTTCTGGAGCGTCTATGGGACCTCATTGACCAACAACTAAAAAATGAGTAACCCATACCTAGCACTGGGCTTTTCATTCACTGGCCTTTGGTGGCTGGGGGAGACACTGTCTTCTCACTATAGCATAACTCCTCCAAGTTTCTTGTGTGTATGAATATGTGTATGTTTTCGGAAGGTTTTCAGTAGTGCACTTCCCTATGGCGTTTTCTAAGGTAATTAATGTTAGTCGTCCCTCTCCATGCTCCCTCTTCTGCCTGCCCTTCTGTCTCCATCCCCAGTCAACCCTTGCTCCTCTACCTGCATTCTATGAGGTCATTATAGACTTGTTCCAATATGCTAATCTTCATATTTTATTTGGAGAATTATGATTATTGTTTTTAGGAGGGGGTAGCAATTCCTATAATTTTGTTGACTTTTTTCTAAATTTGATTATTGGTTTTTTTTTTCTTTTGGTTCCCTATGTGTATTGGGGGGTTGCTGGCTTCCTCAGTGTTGCATGGTTAACTTCCTCTTAGTTCTCCTTTGTTAATCTATTTCTCTCATTAAATTTATACTTTCCTCATGATTACAGCAATCTTTTTCATCCTCTGAGCATCATGTTTCTTTTGATTATTTTCTGCAGACCTGATGGTAATAAGTGCCTTAATTTTTTGCCTGTCCTGAAATATCTTCATTCCATACTGATATTATAAGACAACTTGCTAGAATTAGTAATTTTGGTTGATGATTAATATCAGAGCTTGAAATTTTCCTGGCTTTTAGGGTTTCTGCTGAGATGTCTGATATTGTTTATTTGGATGCTTTTGCCTTTTCAATTGAGTTGGCTTTTTTATTACAATTTTTAATAGTTTACTGAATAGTTTTAGCATCTTGACTATAATGTGTTGTGAAGAGACTCTTCCTTGGTCATGCATATCTAGTGTTCCAAGTCACTCTTGATTGTGAATGTTCATTTCTTTCCCCAGATCTGAGGAAATTTTAGATACCACTTCATTGACTAGCTTTTCTGTGACTTAAGCTTTTATCTTGGCTCCTTAACCACATCCATTCTAGAAGGTTTGGCCCCTTAATCATTTGCCACAGTTTTCAGATGCAATAGACATTTCAAATGCAATAGACATACTGCTTTTTCTTTTCTTCTTTCCTTCCTTCCTTCCTTCCTTCCTTCCTTCCTTCCTTCCTTCCTTCCTTCCTTCCTTCCTTCCTTCCTTCCTTCCTTCCTTCCTTCCTTCCTTCCTTCCTTCCTTCCTTCCTTCCTTCCTTCCCCCTCCCTCCCTTCCTTTCTTGCTGTTGGAGTATTGCATTGCCTCAGCCTTGCCTTCCACCTCTGATATTCTTTCTTCTCTTGGTCTAGTCTACTGGTGATGCTTTCCACTATGTGATATGGTTGATGAGTTTTTCATTTCTAGCATTTGTTTGACTTTTTTTTTTTCTTTCGTGATCTCAGTTCCCTTCCTGTGTTTCTCATCCATGTTGTGGATCTCTCTTCTGTACTGCTAACATTCTTACATCTTGAATTGATTTTCTTTACTCTTCTGCCTGCTTGTTTTCTTGAAGTCATTTATTACTTTTGGAAGTATTTTTGACTTTTTTCAATTGGCCTTTCTGTATTTCCGAACCTTTAGGTTTGGTAATTGGGAGTTTGTGATCTCCCAGAGCTGTCGTGTCACCGTGCTTGCTCGTTTCTTCAGTTCCTATGTTGCAATTTGCCTGTCTGTTTGGATAGCTCTGGGTTTATTTGGTGTTAATTTTAGTGAATAATCCCCAATATGGCTAATAGAGAAGAAAACAAACCACCTTGGGGTGAGGTTTCTGCTTCTGCTTTCCTCCTTAAGATAGGGTGGCTTGCTATTCCCCACCTCCAGCCCCACCCCGCATTGCCCATCTGTTACTCCTCACTTTCAGCTGACTTAGCCTCCCTCTGTGATTTCCAGTGCTCTTCCAATTATTCTATCTTCGAGACAGAGATTATTTCTTCTTTTTTATTCCCTGACTATTCTCATCCATTGCACAATCCAGAAGCTGCTGTTTCTCTATCATCTTCAGGTACCAACCATCCTATAGAGAGCAGTTTGTCGGCCTCCAAAAAACCAGAAGTGTTTAAATGGAATAGAATCTGTGCTTTCATCTTGGCTTTAATAAAAATCTAACAACATTGGGACATCCTTATCATAACAGTGACCTCATTAGGGGATGTGCTCTAATTTGTTATTGAACCCAGCATGCACTTGGCTTTCTTCTTTTACCTACTTTTCACCCTTTGGAAACCTTGTTTCTAAGAACTTTATTGAAATCCAGGCATATAATTTTATGTTGTTACTTCAAAGAGAATTTTTGTCAGCCTAACTAGAATAAAACCAGTTCTTTTAAACCTTATGAAATAAAGCTATAAAGAAAATACTTTAACTCATAAACTTAATCAGTAATCACTTATTTATATAGTTTATACATGTGCTCTTTCCATTCCAGTAAGACTACATTTATATCTGTTTTTTCTATAAAATCATGATTCATGGATTGCTGATTTTTGTTTAACACATTAACCATAAAAATAAACATGTCTGTGTCATCAAGATAACTCAATTGCCAAGCCAGATGACCTGAGATTGATTCCTGGAACCCACATGGTAAAAAGAGAGAAATGACTCCCATGGGTTGTCCTCTGACCTACACACACACACATACACACACTGTGGCACATGTGCACCCACACACAAGCACACATAAACATACACTCATTTCTAAAACATTAAAATGGCCATTATTATGTTTTTCATAAAACATACTATATATTATTTCAATAACTAAAATATTATATTTCACATTGTCTTCTTTTATTAATCTAATAAAAATTGCTAAAACAACTCAAATAGCTATCAAATACTGGAGAGAAATAAAATGTGGCTTATTCATACAATAGAATATTATTAAGACATAAAAATGAATGAGAAACTGACAGATTAAATGACTTTGGTGAACCTTCATAATTTCATTTGTAGATCTTTCCATTTCTAATTTATAAATACATTTGGGGTTATAAATTATAAATGTACTGCCTCCTGTCAACATTGTATATTTCTATTTGATGATTTCTGTTGTCAAACATTATATGGAAATGTTTCCAAGTATTTTCTGTATTAACTGTGAATGAATAGAACAAAATAAATTGCCTGTGATGGAAAAAAAAAATTGCATAAACATAATGCCATTGTTAACTCTATCATTGATTTGCTGATCTCTTATGAAACTATTCTCCAGCCCCTTTGAGTATGATGTTTTTCAGACATGCACAGATTTAGTTTTGTTTTAATAGTGTGTATTCCTGGTTGATCGACACAGCACAGTTTTTGTATGGGATTTAACAGAGCATATAACAGAATTCTTATTTGTTCTAAAAGTTATTGTTCATATCTCCTAAAATTGTGTTTCCTTAGCTCATTTTTAAAACACTTCCCTTTTATACTTTAACAAGAACTGTTCGGTGACTTCCACTATGATTCATTTGACCCAAGATCAATTGTAATATGTAGTGGGTGCTCTTGAAAGGCTTCAAGCACAAGGCTGCTCAGCAGTTACTCCTTTCCATTCCGTTGTGGATGCAATAAAAATAAACACAAAGTTTTTTAAAAGGATAGAAGTCTATACACTGAAGTATATACTCTGGGATGGTGTATATGTGAATTGTCAATTTGATATGAATAACATTGAAGCCAGGTGTGATGGCCCATGCCTTTGATCCCAGCACTTGGGAGGCAGGTAGATCTCTGTAAGTTCAAGGCCAGCTTGGTCTACAAAACGAGTTCCAGGATAGCCAGGGTTGTTACACAGAGAAACCCTGTCTTGAAAAACCAAAAATAAATAAATAAATAAATAAATAAATAAAATAAACAAAAACATTGAATCCCTCTTTCTTAGGAGAACCACTCTACTTTTTTCACTTATGTTTTATTTGTCTAGGTGGGGTAAAACCTTGTGCTTTAAACTGCCTGGCTGAAGGTTACAATTTCTACACTGAGCGGGCCCCTGCAGTCATAGATGGAACCCAGTGCAATGCCGACTCCCTGGATATCTGTATCAATGGAGAATGCAAGGTGCCTCAGATTTGACTTTTCTTGGCTGGGGTCTTTAAGAACTTTGTCTTTTTCTCAGATAGTAACTTGTGTTGATTTCTATGTTCAATTTTTTAAAGCTGCATTTTAGATAAATTCAATTACAGTGAAGAGCAACAGTACAGTGTGCATGCACACACACACACACACACACACACACACACACACACACACACACCAGAATGACCCATCCATATTACAAAATCATGCAAAAGGTGATTTCTTCTGAAATTTTAACTATATTTATAATAATTGCCAAGGGTATACATTTTTTTGTCTTTCATTTACATTATCCTCCTGTTCGGCTTATATGTAAAATAATAGAAAAAGAGAGGGAATAGGAATTCAACTCTTCTTCATGTGGCTACCATATGTTCTTACTGGAAGACTTTATATATTTCATAGTGTAATTTTTTTCTCAAAGTGTGAAATAGCTATGTTCCACCTACTTTATCTCTGTTTGAGGCATTATGATGGTTTTCATTACACAGTCAGTCTTATTAAAGCATTTACTTTAGCATTAACCAGATGACTTGGAAAGGATAGGATCAAATTCATGGATCTTATCGTAATAAGAAAAGCCACAAAACCACTGTTCTCATGACTTGTTTTGCTTGTTTTACTCTGAAGAGAAGCACATTGCTAAGTGATGCAAACTGAGAAAGAGGAGATAAAACCACTGTTTTACTTAGCTTCAAAATCTCCAAGTTCCTTTTGATAACTTGCCTCTAGATCCAATGATCCAGTTAATGCATGTGTGTGTGCGCGCGCGCGCGCGTGCGTGCGCGCGTGTGTGAGTATGTGTGTGTCTGTGTGCATGTCTGTGTACGTGCTTTGTGTTTGTATAAGTGTGTATGTGTGCATGTAAAGAGAAAAAGAGATTTGTGTATACTTGTGTGTATTTGTATAGATTCCTTATATTCTTAAAGTAAAATATATTTTATAACAGTTTTTTTTAGATAAGATATAATTACAGTTTTATTTAAAAATTGTATTTTATATCAATGGCTAAATTACAGATATACAAATTCAGGTACCAAAATATATGCCATATATGTTAAAAATCCTTATTTTTGTAATTAAACACAAAATTAAAAGGTGAAATTCTAGCTTCTTAAATTGCATGTTTACATCTCCTTTGTGTTTATGCCAATTTGATTCCCAAACAAGAAACATGTATTCATTTTTTAAAAACTTACTCAGGTATTAACTTCATAATTAGCATCTAGCACTACCAATTGCCTGAAAGAAGCCATGGTTTAGGAAGGACAGACAGTAGGGTTCAGTGGGACCCTCCATTATATCCCTGCAGAGGATGAGCTCATGGGACCCTCTATTATAACCCTGCAGAGGATGAACTCAGTGGGACTCTTTATTACATCCCTGCAGAGGATGAGCTCATGGGACCCTCTGTTGTAGTCCTATAGAGGACCATAAATCATCTTTCCTAGTTCTTTAATTTCTAGACTAGAGGTGAAGGAGTCCATTACTAATAAATTATAATATTTTAAAGGATTAGAACATGTTATCTATTAATCAAAGAGAAATCTAGGTTAGAAATAGTCATGTATCTAGGAAATCAATTTTCTTTTTTGTTTAGGTATTTAGAAATATTAGCTGTACTTACTAGAGAATGACATTAAATGGGAAAATATTTCATATTTTGATTTCCTTTACTGGAAATACAAGTAAATAAGTTCTATGTATTTGATTAGTTATGGTTCCAAGAATTTCCCTTTTGACACACTGAATATTCTCTGTTTTCAGCATGTAGGTTGTGATAATATTTTGGGATCTGATGCTAGGGAAGATAGGTGCCGAGTCTGTGGTGGGGACGGAAGTACCTGTGATGCCATTGAAGGGTTCTTCAATGACTCATTGCCCAGAGGAGGTGAGTATGGAGAGAACTCTTCCTCTGGTGACCTGCAGTAGTAAAGACTCTTGCTTTTCCTTTCCTACCTACTGAAAACTTCCGTGATGTAGGCCAGCAGTGTCTTTTCCCCAGACAGTGGTCCTTTCAGTCTCTTACATGTTAAATGTGGTTTCATGAAGATATTTTAAAGAATGTTATTTTATTTCAGTTAGCCTTTCTGTGAGGAGGGTTTGTAGAGGACTGAAAATAAGCTTTTGACCATGCTAGGCAAATGTTCTGGCACTGAGCTAGCTACACCTCCAGCCCTACTTTTTTCTTTAACATAGGATCTCACTTAAATTATCCTATCTGGCTTTGAATTCCCAGGCATTAGTGATCCTGTTCTCTCAGCCTCATTGCGAAGCTATGACTGTAGGTGACACTACCACTTCCAACTTGCCATGTTTCTTTAAACAGTGATGACCCACAGAGCACTGGTGTGAGGAGAGCATGTTGAGAAAAGAAAGGTGGAACAATACTACACATGTTAAGGTTGTAAAATATCTTGAGATGATTGTAGGAAAAAAAAGTAGGCAGATGAAGGCAGATGTCTATGAGTTCATGGCCAGCCTGGTCTACATATTGAGTTCCAGGTCAGCCAAGGACTACATGGTCATAGTCTATCTCAAGCTCCCTCCCATCCCCCAGTCAAACATTTTTCTCTTCATAGACCCACTGGAAATTTGTTCTTATTTTGCAATTATGAAGTACAAAGTCAAAGAAGAAATGAAGGAATAAACCCCATTGCAAATATTAGCTGGCTACTAAGCACTCATTTTTAGTTGGCTGCTTATTGTGGGCCATCTTGTGTATTCCAGGTTATATGGAAGTGGTGCAGATACCAAGAGGTTCTGTTCATATTGAAGTACGAGAAGTTTCCATGTCAAAAAATTACATTGGTAAGTTATTTTGCTAGATTGTTTTTAATGAATGATGTGAAAGATCTAATACTGAAAAAAAGATGTTTCAAGATGCATCCATATACATACAAGCTTACACTTCACTGTGTTATTTGATTTTAACTCAATATTATTGAAGTATAGCTTGCATAGAGTAGAATACATAATGATAATTATATCATTTGAATATTATTAATGATCATATAAATGCTACAACCAAAGTAGAAAACATTTCCATGGTTCTAAAATTCATTCCTTTTTGCAGTTAAATTCCTTTCACTCCTCTTTAGAGGATAATTCTATTAGTCCCAACCTCGGTCTCAGACAAACATTGATCTAATTTTAATTGAATTTTTATTTTTCATGTATGTATGGTATACATGTGTTTATATGCATGTTATAGTAATACAGTTTTGTAATGTTAATATATTTGTTCAATTGTTGATGGATATTTGAGACGTATTTATAGCCTTTTACTATTACAAATAAAGCTTCTGTGTGTGTGTGTGTGTGTGTGTGTGTGTGTGTGCGTGCGCGCGTACAGGTACATTACATGCCATTATCTCAAAGATATAACTAAACTCCATGTTCATTACAGAATTATCCACAACAGCCTGAGATCTGAACCCTGGTCCTCTGCAAAAGCAGTACATGCTTTTAACACTTGAGCTATCTCCCTTTGTTTTATTTTTAAGGCTCAGGTCTCAGCACCTGGGTTGGGCAGCTAACTGCTACCTGCATGCATCTCCAGTTCCATGGGATTGGACACCTTCTTCTTGGGTCTGGGGGTACTGCACTCCATTCACAGACCATACATAACACACATATACACATAATTAAAAGTGAAAAAGAACAAGATGGCTGCTTAAGCAAGACCTGAACAATGACATGCCGACATAGGTGGAAGAAATTACCCAAGGCCTTACTCTTACTTAGACTAAGTGCTACAAGCAATTAAAAGCTGCTAAGGGAGTGAGAATTCATCTTTCCCATAGATGGGTACACTAAATGATCATCTAATCCCAAGTGGTCAGCCCTAAAATATGTACATAAAACAACACTAAACAGACTCAGCCGGTTGCATTTATATATTTATTTATGTATACATATATGTGTATATATGTAACAGTAATAATAATTAAATAATAAGAGTCTATGAATTTGAGAGGAAGTGGGGGACATGGGAGGGGTTGAAAGGAAGTGTGGGGGAATTATATAATTATATTTTAATTTTAAGAATTGGAAAAAAGAAAGATAAAGCAAGGAAATCCTGCTGTGACATGAACAAACCCAAAAGACATTTTGCAAAATGACATAAACCAGACATAGACATAGATAGCACATGACATCATTTATATGTATGCTCTAAAAATCTCATTGAAAATGTGGCTGATTACGGTGCGTCTTGGAAGGAGAGTAACAGATGGAGAGATGGAGTATGATGGTCAACAAGTATAAAGTCAGTTATATGATGAATAAATCCTGGAACTATTAACATACTGTGTCTAATAAGAATGTACTATTGTTGTATGACACTGTTCCTGGGGAGGTGTAGACAAACATCTGCTCTACAGGTAGGAAACAGAAGACAAGCCCAAACTTGTGACCAGTTTCATCAGGGTTACTTCTAGGAATAGGGGTTAGCCCATCCCAGCATGGATGGCAGTTCACAAAAGCTGGGAACCCCGAGCACACTGTACAGCCTACAGGCAGCTCAATAGCTTGGACAGTGTCCTTTCCCAGTGGCTCCGTTGGTCTTTATTTCTTCTAGGAAGTTTGGTAAGTCTCTGCTATTTTCAGGATGATTGGCTGGTCTCTGCTTCTTCCAGGCAGCTAGCCTGAGTCTTCTTTATGCCCTGGCTCATCTGAGAGTGACTCAGTAGGCTTTACAGTTTATGTGGACTTGAGGAAGGAGGACTGCTCAGTTCCAGGGACTTCTGAAACTACTGGGGTGTTTACTTCCTGATTTAAGGAGCTTCTCAGAGTACTTCTCTCCCCTTAGAACATCCTATTGCTTTACCTTCCTGTAAACATCCTGTTGTGAGAAGTTTCCTTCTGGAAAGTTTTAATTTCAGGAAACTTCTACATAACAATTGTATGTTTGAAATTTCCTAAGAGAACACACAGTCATCTCACCACACTCAAAAATACTAACTAGGCAGTGGTCATTTCACAGTGTGTGTCAGGTCATCACATTGTAAACCTTAAATTCCTCAACTTTTCAGTTTTACACTAATATACTCAGAGGGAAAAAAAAGAGAAATATATGCTTGTATTCTAAAATGGATGCATGTCATTCCAAAGAATTCCAGTTCTTCATGGTCTTATCAATACTTGATGAGATAGTCTTTACCCATATGGAAATCATTTGTTTCGCTTTGTTTTGGGAGGTCTCACCCTGTAGTCCTAGCTGTTCATAACTCACTATGTAGATCAGGCTGGCCTAGAACTCGGAGACCCACCTGTTCCTGCCTCCCAGGTGCTGAGGTTAAAGGCATGAACCATCACGCCAGGCTGGATACCTTCTTCCATGAAGTATCTAACAAATATGTTAGCTATTTTTACCCTTTGTTTTTGTTTGTTTTGTTGGGGGGCACGGCAGGGTCTTGCTGTGTAGCCCAGGTTAATATGAACATTGCTGTGTAGCCTGAGCTGGATTGAATTTGTGATCCTTTTACCTCAGGTAAAAATGTGCTTGAATTAGGTGTTCTGCATATACTCTGGATAGAAATCTTTCAGATATATGTTGTATGAATATTTTCTCCTAGTGTGTGTTTTGCTTATTGTTTTTAGGTAATATATTTTATTTTTTGATGAGAGCTAATTTATTAAACTCTTATGATTTCCATTCATGTCCTATCTTAGAGTTGTGTTTTGTAAGGTTGTAAACATTCTCTTCAATATTCTTCAGGAAGTGGTTGTAGTATATGCTGCTGTAATCTGAACAAGAAGTGATAGCTTTAAGGGACTATGGGTGTAGCTCAGAGGTAGAATGGATGCTTACCATGCATAGGGCCCTCAGCTGAATCCCCATCACCAAAAAGCAAGAACAAAACAAAGAATAGTTTCACTTTTACAGGAAACACATAGCCCATTCCAATTAGTTTGTATAGAAGAGGTAAAGGAAGGCTTGAGATGCATCTTCCCCATATAGATATTGAACTTCTGTAGCACCATGTGTTGGAAAGCATGCCATCTCCCCTGTTGGATTATGGTGCTGCCTTTGTTAGATGTCAACTGAACACACAGGTCTGTTGTTGGCTATTTCTCTTCCTGACTTTTGATCTGTGTGTCTATCCTTAAACCAAAGGTATGATAGAGGATAGAGGAGACTTTCAGTCAGGACTGAAAGTCACAGGCATTAAATCTCAAATATGCGCTACTTTTTCAAAATTATTTTGTTTTTCTACTTAAGTTGTATAGAGTTAATATCTTAAATATATTTTATCAGTACCTGTGAGATACACCTCTATGTTTATTTTAGTCTTCTTTAGATTGCTTTCTTTGATATTTTAGTGCATAGGTTTTGCACATGTTTTATGACATTTATTACTATTCTCTTCTGAGAGATCAGAGGTAGAATCAAATCTAGGGCCTTGTACATGCTAGACAAGCACTCTACCAGTGAGCTACATCCCACCTCTTGATCTTCTTCTTTGCAATGATGTTATAAATGATACTCATATTTTCAATTTTATTTTCCAATTTAAATTATTATTATGTAACTCAATTTTTAAGATAATTTTTATTATTTTTAGTTATATGTATGTGCATGTATCTGTGTGTGGGTACGTGCATGTGAGTAGCTTCAGTTCCTCTGAAGCTAGAGTTACAGACAGTTGTGAGCCAGCATACACAGATGCTAGGGAGTGAGCTTAGGTTCTCTGTAAGAGTGGCATTAGCCCTTAACTGTATCTTTCCAGCCCCCAACTAAGTTTTTTTTGTATACATCCCTTCTATTTTGAGACCTAATTACAATTATTTGCTGTAGAGCATTTATTAAATTGTGTTCTGAGTTTTTTATGGTTTTGCTGTTGTTTTTTACATGTCAACCTTGAACAAAGACAGTTTCCCTTTTTATTTACAATCTTTAGTACTATTAATCTTTTCCATGTGGTACAAAGCTACATAGAAATGAGGATGCCCAATATCCCTTTATTAATCCAATCTTAAGAGAAAATGTTCAGTTTTTAACCATTAAATATAATGTTAGCTAGAAGTTTATGTAGATGGCACTTTATCAAGTTAAGGGTGCTTTGTTCTGAAGATTTTAGTCATCTATGGGTATTGAAGTTCTCTGAATCTATTGATATGATTGTATAGGGTTTATCCACTATTAATGTAATAAAGACATTGGTTGATTTTGGATTTTAAATCTATCTAGTATTCTTGGAATAAAAATATCACTTTATCATAATGTATTATCCTAACTATACCAATAGAACTGATTTTCTAATATTTTTGAGGATATTTAAACCCATGTTCATAAGGAATATTAGTCTCTTGTCTTTTCTTGTGATGCCTCTATTGATATAAAGCTGACTCTATAAAATGAGTTGAGAAACACTTCTTTCCTGTCTGTTCTCTCAATGAACCTGGGGGAAATGGATATTATGTTTTAATGTTGGATAGACTTTAACTGTAAAAATCGTTGGGCTTCAGTTTTCTTTTTGGGAAGTTTTTATTGAGAAAATGTGTTCTGTAATTACAAAGTTTTCCAACTTATTGACATAATATTATATATAATATTGCTTTATTATTCTTTAGATGTCTGTAAACATATAGGCATCATTCTTTTCATTCTCCAGACTACTAACTTGTATCTTTTATTTCTTTTTCTTGATCACTCTAGTGAAGGGTTTATTCATTTTATTGATCTTTTCAAAGACCAAGATTATGGCTTAAATGTTTTCGTCTATTTTCCATGACCACCATTCTTACTCTTCTATTTATTAATGCCATTTTTAGTTACTTTGTTTTAATTTGTTATTTTCTGTAGC